TTAAATTATTATTTTTATTACATATATGCAGGGTTAATTACTGATGTAATATATAGGGTGAGATTGGTATACTATTGCTATACTCCATGTATTTTTATGGAGATATATTTATCTAGATTATGAATTAAATCAAATTTGTGATATGATACTATACTCTAACCTCTAATGGATAAATATCAGTTCCCGATTCTCTAAACTCACCAGAAGTTCAATTTAATAAAAAAATGTTCATTAACCGTTGAGATTGGTCGGAGCACAAAAAACAAAATTTAACGGACAAATCACTTGAAGTATATTATACTCTTTGATATTGTTCACAGAGACTGGAAGCATGTAATAATTTCTTCGTTTTATGAGAGAAATACAGGGCGAATGTCAAGATCAAAACAATTGAGTTGTGGATTTAAGGACTTTTTTGTATCATAATAATATATATATGCAATTAATTTCAGTAACTGGGCTTCTTCGTTCTCACTCCATCTAATAAAGTTTTGGAATGAACTTGGATTGGTTAGCTAGCTAGCTAGGAATAACTCAATAATTACGTCCGTATATAACTCAGTCTCAATTGAAGTTGATGATCCTCGATCGATAAAGAAGACAAAGACTTCATATTTCTAGGTCATCCATGACGTCTACGTAGCTCTCAAAATGACCGTGTATATTATTGCATGAAACACTCTCCACATATACATATATAGACACAGTGACTGTTTCTTATACATATAAACTGCAGCCGGCCACTTAATGTTTGGAAGATAGTAGCTAGTTACATTGGCCTAATTTCTTAAATGAATTTCAACTTAATTAGGTTTTATATATTGAGCGCACGAATTAATTAATTTGTCCACCTTCGTGTGACCTGCGTGCGTATGAGAATTGGAAGTGCGATGGAAACAGAAACCTCCAATACTACTTGGTTTATTTATGCAGGAGGTTGACTTTTTCCAAATGGTTTCGGCAACGTAAAGATGAGGACCAATATTGAGCCAAATCTGATCAGTCTTTCCCACCGATTTGAACACTACAACCGTGCATTTTTTTTTTCAACACCTCCGCGATCATATACACAATTACACATACGTGTTAGCAATGCAGAAGTATATAGAACTAGTTTGGCTCTTCTGTAGTTTTTGCAAAAACTGCTTTTGGCTTGAACTTTTTTTTTAATCCTTTTGGCTTGAACTTTTAGATAAACACTTCTAAAAAAGCAGTTGAATGTTTGGCTGGAAATTATTAGAAGTAGTTTTTAATATAAGAAATCATGTAAAATTACTAAAAAGGATTTCTAATACAAAAAATGAATAAAAAATTTAAAAATAAAAAATAGTGAAAATAGTTCTTGTTAAATATCTTTCCTATTAAATAATTTTATTTTATTTTTTAAAATGATAAAAATGAAAGAATATTATATTTTCAAAAATAAAATTAAAATATGGTAAGTATAATTTTGTATTTCAAAATAGCTTTTCGTAGAAGCTCCAAACCGAAACTTCTGCTTTTACGTTATGCAAAAACACTTTTCGATTTTTCAAAAGTCAAGTTATTTGAGATGTTTGACCCAGCTTCACCTTTTAGAGCATAAAAACACTTCTAAAAGTTGAACAAACATATGCATATTAGTGTTGAGTAATATGTGCCTAAGCCCATAATATGAGTGACTCGTATGTATAGTCAGCTCAAGTTTTCGGGTGTAAGGTATATATATACATATAAAATAATTATATAGCTTTGGGTGGTAGTTACGAAAATGCCCTGATTATTATTGTTAGCATGGTTCTAATATTATAGGGTGTTAGCGCCTATCCGGTCTCCATCTTCTTAGTCTCTTGGGTATTTAGCTCGAGCAGATCTGACAAATGAATTTAATTTATCATTTGGTGGATTGAATTAGTAGATTCATGAATTCTATTTAATTTATCATTTGGTGGATTGAATTAGTAGATTCATGAATTCTGGTCAAATTAGATTGGTGGATTCATAAACTAGTTGTTGATTCATATATCCAAGTGGCATCTAATCATTGAACGAATATGTAAATTTTAAAAAGTTTAGACACTAAAACTTCATAGTAAAAAAATTAATATCAAAATGTAATTTTCCCATGATATTTTAGTCCAAAAATTAAAATCTAGGTATGAAAATGTAAACATTTTAATCCCGATATCATGAATCCAATCCATAAATCGACCAATCAAAATTTATTTGAATTAAATGAATTGAATTAATGAAATATTTTTGTAGATGGATTGGATTAGATACAAAATTACCACCTTAAGGTTATAACATGCTATTCATAGATTGAGAAAATTTATTCAGTGGCATGATGAGGATTATTAAACTTATATATAGTGAGTTTTACGGTACCGAGGTGAAATCTAGGGTATCGCATATTTTGAGTATGAAAATGCTATTCAAATCTTGAATTGCCTGATCTTTCAGAAATGATACTATAAGATCAAAATCTAAGTCTTAATTCTCTAAATCTTATACCACAAGATCAATTTAATTAGAAACAATGATCGACGGTTATGATTCGTCAAAATATAGGCAAAAAAAAATGAATGCACCATCTAAGGGTGTATTAAGATAATTAGGACCTAGGGTTCACTCATTAAGGGTTAGAGTATAGTATCAGACCCAAAAAATTGTGCTAATTCGAGGTCTAAGATAGAGTTTTCATACTCAAGGTATGCGGTACCTCGAATTTCACCCAGGCTACTTCGACGCACTCACTTTTATGTACAATTTCATGTGTTTTTTGTTCATCCAGGCTACCACAAGTGACGATTGGCATCGTTTTCATACAAATCGCTTGCTCAGAATGACGAGTGTGAGGCGGGTGCATTGAATGCACCAAAAAAAGTGAGTGCACCGAAGACGCCACTATATATATATATATATATATATACACGGGTCAGATTCTCGTGTGCTCCTGGAGCATACTATGGTCCATGTAGTCATAGTGAGATATCTCTATTTTGACCAGAATTAAACCGAATTTGGGGTATGATACTATACCCTAATTAACCTCAAATGGATAAATCCCAGACCCCAATTTTCTAATCCAATACTCAATTTAAGAGAAAGTAAATTTAACGGTCGAAATTGGTTGGAGCTTATCCATGTAAATTTAACAGTCAGATCATCTGAAATATTCTATGCTCCTTGAGCGTATGAGTCGAGCCAGGTACGACATGTAGGAAATGAAAGCAAACAAAGTCAGTTTGGATTCTGGAAATGGTTGACATGGATCCAAAGTTGGTAAAGCATACGGTATATGCAGCTGAACAACTTGAGAATTGAGATAGAGCTTGGTCGTTTATTAAGCTTCCACGTACTTAAGTTTCCTTGTTCAATGCAATGTACCAATAGAGATTTCTTTAAAAAAAAAAACATTATCCAATTTGTGTTTCCTAGGCTTAATTTGTTAGAGAATTAGTTAAGTTGTTGTTCCTAGAAGAAGAAAGAAATTGGTACCTGTTCTACTAGTCGTTAATGAGCCATATTGAAACTAGAGAGCGAAACCTACGTAGTTAAAAATATACGTAAAACTTGTAACTTTTTTAGGAAATAAAATGATTGGTAAAATTTTAATCTCATCTTCCTCCAAACTAACCACGATGGAGTCGAACCTTTTGAACTTAATTTTTTGGTCTCCACCCACTAATATTTCTGAATATGTGATCACTACAGTACTAGTTGTGGTACATGAGAAAGGAACTTGCTATATTGCACTGATTACCCATCAGTAATCACTTGCTAAGGTAGCTTAATAGGTCGACAGGTAAGATGGACCTTGATTTTCCTTTTCTCTTCCTGTATGTGAAGTAAAAAATCATCTAAAATAGGTAGGTCATTATGTCCTATTTTAAAGACAATATCAAGAGTTTTTCATCACCAATGACATAATTATTAGTGATATTACTAGCTTTTGGCATATCTTACTCGGGTCAGATCCGATCCTTAAGGCCTATTTTTTAAAGAAGATCTTAAACCCCTTCCAACCAATAGAAGAAGGAGAGAGAGATTAGTTATCATTGTGTAACTACCTGCCTAATACGTTCGAGGTTAAAACTTGAATATACTAAATAGTTAATAATATTATTAATTAAAAGGAAAATTGTGGAAACTGACAAAAACGCGGATTGGATTATTTTCTCATGCATCGTTCTCCTCCCAGTCCTAAAATCGCTTCTCTGCAAAACTCGTCGTCGTGCCTCGCTGGAGACGTGTCGTCGCGAGCCGCTTCTCTCCTTCTCTCCGCCGACTCGTTGACCTGCCGTAACCATCCGTCGTCTCTCCTCCACACCGTTGTTAGCAACCGCACAGGGAACTACTTGTCTTTTTGTCGTCGGCCTTTACCACTGCTATGCTTCATACCCACTCCGTGGAATTGTTAAAGCGTGTTTTGTTTGATAATTTTATCTTAATAATGTAATTTTATGTACTTTACATTCTTACTATATTAGACAGTATTAACAACATAAGTAAAAATGTTAATAATGTATGTAATTGGAGAAGAATCTTGGCAGTAGTTTGTTGATATTGTTATTAATAACTGGAAAAAGATGATTAATAACAACGACATTAGTTGTTAATAATTATAGTATAAATGTTAATAATCCAAGTGGAAAAATTTCTTAAGTGTTTACCTAACAGTGTTATTAATAATTGAAGTAGATATATGTTGACGCATTAATAATGAGACTAGGGGTAATTAATAATGGTGTCATTGTTTGTTAATAATTAAAGTTAATAAGTTAAAAAATCATATTTGCATGTAAAGCTTCAGCGTTTGAGGTTTAATAATTCGAAAAGGGATGATTAATAAAAATTACATTATTTGTTAATAATTATAATTATAACAAGTTTATAAAATAATCACCAGTTTAAAACGTAAACGTCGTGGTGTTTTAAAAACTAGAAAAGCAAAGATTAATAACGACGACATTACTTCTTAATAATTATAGTATAAATGTTAATAATCAAGGTGTAAAAATCTCTTCTGTATTTACCTGACAGTGTGACAAATAAAAGATTCACAGGTGCTCTGCAATGCTCTGTACGAACAGCTCTGCGCAAATAACTCTGTCGACCAATTCCGCCCAGACGGGACGACCACCGGACGAGCCAGCTTTAGATACCGGTCCCCTGCCACTGGCTGGGGCGATGGAAAAGAATAACAAATCCCCTAGTACTGAAGCTGTTGCTGACACGGTTGTGGACGAGACCCAGACAGCTGCTAACCAAACGGCGGCGGCACTGACGGCAAGGGTAGAGACAGTTGCAGACACGGATCCAAATAAGTCGCTAAGCTCAATTGGAGCCGGGATATCGAACATCCCCACCAGCAGCCCTCAATCCTCTTAACCGGCTTCCTATGGCGAGGTGCTAGCAGGAGGATTGAATCTGCCCAAACCGCGGGAGAGCATGATCTGATCACAGGTTCCTTTCAAGGTGAACCAGAGTTAAGGATTTCGGAGAAATTCAAATCTCAACTCACTAAGCCTTGGCAGAGAACCTTTGTCGTGCGGCTCCTAGGGAGAACTATTGGCTATGCAACTCTGTGCAACAGGCTCCGTACTCTTTGGCGACCTACTAGCGCTCTGTAAATTTTTGCATTGGATGATGTGTGCTTTCTGGTCAAGCTCGGAAAAAGATGAAGACTACTTCAAGGCACTCACTAAGGGCCCCTGGACCATTTTTGACCACTACCTCCTAGTTCAACAGTGGACATTGGGATTTTGGGTTACGGACAACTTACCTAAAACAATGGTGGTCTGGGTGCATTTTCCCGGCCTACCGGTGCATTTCAATCACAAAGAAATTATCTTCACTATGGGAACCTCCTAGGAAGATCCATAAACTTGATTATCACACACAACACCAACAGCGGGCAAAGTTTGCACGGATGGCTGTCGAAGTCGATCTATCGAAACCGGTGCTGCCGAGGATTAGGTTAGACGGCCGGTGGCAGAAATTTGATTATGAAAATCTCCCTGTTGTCTGTTTTGAGTGTGGGAAAGTTGGACATACGAACGTCTCTTTCCCTACCCTTGATCGAGGACCGTACGGTGAAGCTGATAGAGGTTCGTTGGCATCGGCGGTGATTGTGGTCGGCGATTCTACGCCGGAGGCCAATGCCGGCTTTGGCCCATGGATGATTGTTTCGCGCAAATCACAGCGAAATCAGAAAGTTACTGCCACAATAGGTAAGTTGGAGCAAGTGTTGGTGATCACCAACGGGCCGAAGAAAGGAGACGAACCGAAAGAGAGCGATATTGCGGGGAAATCTTCATCACAAAAATCAGCGAAATCTCAGCAAAAGCAACGACAACAAATAGGGGAAAACCAGACGATGAAAAGAGAGGGAAAGAGCAAAGGAAATTCGAAATGGAAAGGGAAAGTGACGGAGCAGGTAGGGCACGTTGAAAAGGGCCTGTTTGGCCCAAAGCCCAACTTGGAGGAGGCCTCTTCCACCGGGCCTAGCCACACTTCCAATAAGGCTATCAGCCCTACACCACAAGACATGGGCTCTCGGCTGGTTGTGAGCGGATCTAGTGGGTCTATTGGGAAGGGACCGGTTTTGGATACACTAACCGGGCCAGCGACCCAAATCATAGCGGGTGGGAATGGAAGCAAAATCCACATCGTGGAGACGCAGCCGTACCAGCCACATGCACCTCGCCTGGTTAATCCAGAGATGCCGCCGGCGGTTTCCAGGACGAAATCTAAGAAAGAGGGACGAGGTTGGAGGAGCCAAAATGGCGGCAACACCTAGGAAAGGTACTCCGATCCGTCACAATCCCCTAAAGCCTCTGCAAATCTGGTCCCCGGTGAAGAAAAGAAGGGTCGGAACAAGGAGAAGCGAGTCTCGCTAACCCTACAACAAATCAAAGAGTGGACGAAGGCGACAAAACCGAAGGCGGTGGCAGAGGTCGAGTCAATGAAAAATGAAGAAGCAAAGAAGATGGTTATGAAAATGAGTGGGATTGAGAGCACTCATGCCGCCCCTGGCCTCTAATTCCCGGTGCTTTCTTTCATTTGCGCCCTTTGTTTCCTCGCCCCTTTCCAATTTTTAGTGTTAATGTTTGTCAATCTCGACTCTGATTTTAAAATTTTTGCTTGGAATGTTGGTGGAGCTGGTAGCAATGCCTTTTCTCGCTCTTTGAAGCTTGCTCTTCAGCTCCACAAGCCTGACTTTGTTATTCTCATTGAATAGCATATCAGTGGCGAGAATGCCGATAGAGTGTGTGAAAGGCTGGGGTACCCAAATGTCATCCGGGTAGAAGCTAACGGCAGAAGCGGTGGTATTTGGTTCTTCTGGAATGCCAAAATTTTTTATGTTTCTGTTAATTCTACAGGTTTCCAGCACCTGACCCTCTCGCTCTCGTAGGTCAATAGTCGTCGCCGGAAACTTACCGCCGTTTACGCCTCACCTTGTCGACAGCTGTAGAAACTTCTCTAGAACTCCCTTATTGAGCAGAGTAAAACCATTGACTACCCCTGGCTCCTAACTAGCGATTTTAAAGCCATTTTGTCACCTTTGGAAACAACAGGACAAGCTACTCCAAGAGTGTTGCGACGCTGCCGGAGGTTTAACGATTGTCTCAATGAGGCGGAGTTAGTCGACCTTGGGTACTCAGGACCGAAACACACTTGGTACAGGGGTGGTAAGGTGCAGACGTTCAGAGCTAGTAGATTGGATACGAGTCTCTATAACATCGATTGAAATGACTCCTTCCCGAATACGATGGTGGTTCACTTGGCAAGGCTGAGCTCGGACCACAACCCGATCCTGACGACGGTGCCGAGTGATGGAGTTACCATCCTTCCCCTAGACGTTTTAGATTTGAAGTGGCTTGGATTACTCATTCTGATTTCCATGATTTTCTGATTGATAAGTGGAATGGGAAACTTAACAACTTCCCTATGGCTTTGCAAGAACTCTCGGATAGCTTGAAAACCTGGAGCAAATAGGTCTTTGGCAATGTTTTTCAATGAAAGAAACGCTTGGTGGTGAGAAATGAAGGATTGAGAGGAAGCTACCCATCTCTTTCCATCCTGGTTTGGCCAAACTTCATGCCAAGCTCGAAGCGCAGTTAGACTGAACCCTAGAACAGGAGGATTTGTACTGGTATCAAATGGCTCGGGAAAATTGGGTGAAGTTTGGAGAGAGAAACACAACTTACTTCCACCAAATTGCCAACATTTGACGCCGGCTAAACAAGATAGAGTGCCTAAAAAGCATAATGGGGAGTGGGTGCAGGATAAACAGGAGCTTGCTCAACTTGTGTTTGATTTCTTCTTTAACCTGTACTTGCAGGAGGCGTCCCAGTACACTGATCTCATGCCCAAGGGGGCCTTCCCACGGCTTAGTCAGGATGATTGGCTATGTTTACTGCACCCCTTTTCGATCATGGACATTCATCAAGCTGTCTTTGATATGAAACCTATGCAGGCTCCAGGTCCGGATGGCTTTCAAGAGGTATTCTATTAACAGGAGTGGCGGGTTGTTGGGAAGGCTCTCACGGTTATGACTTTATCCTTTTTCGAGAATGGGAATTTGCCTGCAGCCATCTCGGAGTCCACTGTTGTGCTCATCCCTAAAGTTGAGAAGCCGGAATTTATTCATCAACTCCGACCCATTTCATTGAATAATGTCAGCTTGAAGGCTATCACTAAGGCTATGACGAGCAGGCTGAAAGTGGTCATGAAGAAGCTTGTTTCTCCTTGCCAACGCAGGTTCATTCCGGGACGACAAACTTCAGATAATATCTTCGTCGTTCAAGAAGTGTTGCACTCCCTGAAGAAGAAGAAAAGAGGGAAAAAGGGTGGTATGGTGATTCAGATTGACTTGGAGAAGGCTTATGGTAGGCTCCGGTGGGACTTCCTGAGAGATACTCTGATTGAAGTTGGCCTTCCTAGCTCTTGGATTCGATGCATCATGTTCTGTGTTGAGCAGAACCATATGAGGATTCTTTGGGATGGCGAGCTAACCCAACCCATTACCCCCGCGAGGGGAGTAAGACAGGGAGACACTCTTTCTTCGTATCTTTTTGTTCTTTGCATGGAGCGCCTTTCTCATAGGATAAATCAGGCCGTCAGCGATAAGCTTTGGAAACCCCTAAGCATAGCGCAGGGCGGGCCGGGTCTTACTCACCTTTTCTTTGCCGATGATTTAATTCTGTTTGCGGGTGTGGAAGGGTGGCAAGTAAGGATCGTCCGCCAATGTCTTGGCGAGTTCTGTGAGAGCTCTGGGCAGAAAGTGAACTACTTCAAGTCCATGATGTACATCTCGCCCAACATATGTCCGCTGCGTGCGCAGAGATTGAGCGACAAGGCTGCCATTCCCTTGAATAAGGTGCTGGGGCGGTACTTGGGGATTCAAACCATCCATGGCAGGGTCACTCGGAGCAGATATTAGGAGTTGATACTGAAGATACAAAGGAAGCTGGCCCCTGGAAGGCGAAGCGGCTATCTTTAGCTGCGAGGCTGACAGTTGCTCGATCTGTATCCTTGGCTATCCCTACTTACACTATGCAAACTGAAATGATCCCTGTCAATGTTTGCAACACCATCGACAGGATTAACAGGGATTTCATTTGGGGCAAGGATGAGAATCAGGGAAAGATGCACTGGTGGCTTGGGAGAAGCTAGCAGAACCGAGAACGCAAGAAGGAGGTGGCCTGCGGGCTCTTCGACAGGCCAAACTCGCGCTGTTAGCTAAAGGAGGATGGTGTATCCTGCAAGAAAAAGATACTCTCTTGACTCAACTCATGAGGGCAAAGTATGGAGGAAAGAGAAAATATCTGAACATTTTTCGGCCTTGTCAGGGAAGTTCTTTTGCTTGGTCGAGCATTAACAAAGCAGCTAGCCTCTTGAAACAAGGTTGTGCGTGGAACATTCATAATGGGAAAACACTATTTTTTGGTTGGATAATTGGATTTTGCAGGAACCGCTCATTGAGGCTGCAATTCAACTAGTTCTCGAGGAGGAGCGTTCTAGGACGGTGGCCTCCTATATGGATGTGGACGGTCGCTGGGATATCACTCACCTCTCCAAGTGGTTCTCAGCGGATATTCTTCAAATGATCACTGCCATTATGGTTGATCCTCTGTCTCAAGATGCAGACCAAATTTTCTGGAAGGCGTCTGTTGATGGTCGTTTCACGACGAGGACGGCTTACCAGCTGATTCAGCCCGGGCGCTTAGAGCAGAGTGACCCGATCTGGAAGGACATTTGGAAGCTTTCAACTCCCAAATGGGTCAGATGTTTTTCCTGGCTGGTTTCTCTTGGTTGGATTGCTACCAATGTGTTACGTTTTTGCAGGATACGCAGTGACTCACCGGCGTGCGATCGGTGCGAAGACACTCCAGAGACGGTGCTACGCAATTGCGCGCCGACGCGGTTTTGTTGGTCTCAAAGGGTTCCGGCCGACAGACAGATGGAGTTCTTTCACAGAGATCAAGAGGAATGGCTCCGCGGCAATCTCAGTAACGAGGACAAGATGGGCTCTGGATTGAGTTGGAAAGAGTTCTTCAGCACTGCAATTTGGCTGACATGGAAGAACAGGTGCACGACGTGTTTCAAGGGGGCTAGCAAAGCCCTCACATCCCCAACTTTGGCTCATTCTATACAGCACAAGTCCCTACTTTGGCACAAGGCGTGGGAGGCTCCCTCCATAAAGCCAATTAGGCCAATCTTGCAAGCGGATAGGATCACAGAACATATCAGATGGCAACCTCCTAGCACAGGTTAGCGCAAGCTAAACATAGATGGAGCCTTATCCGAAAATCCAGGGACGGCGGGTGCTGGTGGGGTGATCAGGGACGAGCAAGGAAGGTGGATTGCTGGCTTTGTGGCTAAGATTGGAGAAGCGACAGCAGCTCTAGCAGAGCTATGGGCTTTCTACCATAGGCTGAACCTGGCTTGGAAACTTGGATGCGACAGCCTAGTGATTGAGTCTGATTCTCAGTTAGCAATCCAGTTGATTAACAACCGGCGAGACCCGATGCATCCGTTTGCCTCTTTACTTGATGCTATCAGGAGGAAATTGGCTCAGAGTTGGCTGGTTAGGATAGTTCATAGTATCGAGAAGGGAATAGAGTCGCGGACTGACTCTCGAAGCACAGTCTCGTCTATCCCTACGGTATGCATGAACTCTCTAATCCGCCAAGGGAGCTTGTTCAAATCCTTATTGATGATGTAATGGGTGTTTCCTTTGAGCGCAAAGTGAGGGCACCAGTTGCTCTGTAACTCCCCCTTTTCTTTCTTGGCCTCGGCCTCCCTTAATGAAAAAAACAATTTACCTAATAGTGTTATTAATAATTGAAGTAGAAATATGTTGACGCATTAATAATGAGACTAGGGGTAATTAATAATGGCGTCATTATATGTTAATAATTGAAGGTAATAAGTTAAAAGTCATCTTTGTGTGTAAGGCTTCAGCGTCTTTGTGGTTTAATAATTCGAAAAGGGATGATTTATAAGAATGACATTAGTGTTAATAATTATAGTTGTAACAAGTTTGCAAAACAATCATCGGTTTAAAGCTTCAACTTCGTGGAGTTTTAAAAACTGGAAAAACGATGATTAATAACAACAACATAATTTCTTAATAATTATAATAAAAAATTTACTAATGATACGTTAATAATGGTAACAAAACATTACTAACTTACAATTAAAAAATTAACAAAATATTACTAAAGAAACACACATTAGCAACAAAACATTAATAATAAAAAGTTCATAGTGGTGAATAAAATGTTGCTAACTTAACAATTAAACGGTAACAATGGTAAGAAAAATGTTAATGGTGGTGTAAAAAAGTCACTAACTTAAAAATATCCCAATATATAATGGTAGAGTTTTAACAGGTTTATAGTATTTTGAATTTCCTGAAAGGAGAGCAATTTTCGGTACCCCATTTCAGTAATTTCCGGTCTCCACTTTCCTTCCTCCGCCCCTTCTCTAATTTGGGATTTTTTTTCTCTCTGTTTGGGCCTACACTTGGGTTCT